ATACGGGCAGGGCCACCCTTGAAGAAGGCCTTGAAACCTTCTTCCTTCCAGACGGTGGCGGCGCAATGACGGAGGCCGGTGTATCCGACTTCACCCTTACGGGCTTCCACCTGCAAGCGGGTCTTGATGACATCGCAAGGCGTGGTGAGATAAGCAGCAGGCATACCAGCAATGGCACCGGCAGTCAACAATTGCACAACACCAAGCTTGTTGGTCTGGGATTCCCCGAAGAAGTCGGACTTGAGATGAGCGTATGTCGGGAAGTAGATTGCGGAGAAGGGAACTGAAGTACCCAGGTCAGCACTAGCAGATTGGGAAGGAGACGGATAAACCGAGGCTTACCATCGCGAAGCAGGCAGGCACTTGCACCCTTGTACAAGCCGACCAAACCCAGGTTCTTCACGATCCAGAGGGCAGAGCGACGCGGAGCCCCCTCGACGGACTTAGCAATTTCACCCTGAACCTGCAGACGAATCTTAACGATCTCCAGGGGGTTGGTGAAGATCTAGAGGAAATCGTTTAGCCCACTAATCAATATAGCTTACTTGTTAGGAGATTCAAACTTACAACTTGACAGGCTCCTGCAGTACCACCGGCCAGGATCTCATGGCCGGTCCAAATCTTTCCATTCTCCTTGTTAGTGAAATGTCCACGAACAAGATCATTCACCGTCAGTTTGATGGCTTTTTCGGGAGCAACACCAATCAATTGAGGAATGACACCAGAGTACAGTCCGAGGAATCCCTCGTTCCGAATAACTTTCCTAGCACAATCGAGTGAGTTGTTGTACAGTCTCTCTCCCACACGGGTTGATCGCTGGTTCTGCATGCGAGTCTTCACGAGGTCAATGGGGTAAACCATGAAGGCACCGAAGGCACCCGCAAGACTGCCGAGTGCGAAATGGTGCACGGACTCGAGCACGCTGTAAAGGACCGACTTGGTCTTGTCAGCCACCTGATGAGCCTTGTCCGAGGCGATCGTTGCCGCCTGACCAGCAACCGCGAAGGGCGTGCGCCATGAAGCGTCAATAACCTTGGCAAAGTCCTTCTGCGAAAGGCGTCCGGAAGGCGCGTCCAGTCCAGCAAAGTGGAACAAGATATCGGCCTCCATCGGAGTGAACAGTGAGAAGCGAGTGACGCGGGCAGCCTCGTTGAGGAAATCAGCGCGCGTGATTTTGCCATCGGTGCTCTTCTTGGTCGCTTCGCGGACAATGACATCGATCATGTCCATTTCGCGCATAATGTTCTGGAAAGCACGAACGGTGGCATAGGAGATCTTTGTGCCAGTCGAGATGTTGCACAGACTGGGGAGATTCTCAAGAACATAGTCGGACAGCTTGTGTTTCGACGTCTCAAGAATGATACGCTGGAAGTCCTCGGGTTCGATGTAACCATCACCGTCCTTGTCAAACACGTGGAAGGCCTGTCTGATGCGCTCGCCCTGCAGACCGCGAAGCATCTGAGCGAACTGGGGATACGTCATATCATGTCTGGTCTTTGTCCGTCCAGTGTACAGGGAGGCCCATTCTGAGTTCCAATCGAAAGGTATGCTGTCGCTAGTCTTGTTCAGGTTGTACAATTGCTGGAAGTTCTCCCACTTCACCGAGCCAGTTCCTTCTGTGTCAAAGAGGCGGAAGGCGATTTCATACTCGGCGTCCGGTTTGCCCAGGAGGTTCTCGAAGGTAGCCCAATCGGCGAGAGTGAGCTTTCCAGTTCTCCGCCTGTCGGCAACGAGAAACAAAATCCCATAGTGTTCGCGTTTGATCTTGTGCTGCGGTTTCAAGAAGAGAATCCGTCAATTAGCCAGAGCTCGGATCACGGCTAGTCGTATGACACATAAAGCGAAGGCTCACAACAAACAGAATGCGCGGCGAAATTCGAATTACTTACATAGTCCTCGTGCTTGGGAGCGATCGCATCGATGAAGTCGTCCTCCGACATGTAAAGATCTCCTGATGCATCATCTTTGCGTGCGTGGCGCAGGAAATGACTCTTGATCTGCTGCGACGGCTGAGGCTCTGAAGAGCTGCCGACCAAGGACTCCTTGACTGCGTCCTTCACGCTGGTCATTGTGAAATGCAAAAGAGACAGAAATGAAACCAAAAACAATCGATTCAAATCCCAAAAGAGAGAATGCGCCGACTAAGCCAACAAAGAAGCTGAACGACAAGAGGGTGATTAACCCAGGTGGTGAAGGGAGAAGTCGGAGGAAGAAGGGGCTGGGGATAAGAAAAGTGAGTGGAGACGGGGAGACCAGACAAAAATAACGGGGGAGAAATGCTCCAAAGCCCAAACAGTGGTTGATCGATCAATTAGTATGCTGAATCTGGAGTGTGAATCATAGATGTGACAGCTGGAAATTGTGGATGGCAAGTTGGAGAAGAAGTGTGTAAAGTCTTCTATCTAATGTCTAGTGTCTATGGAGTAGTGTTTACAGTTGTTTTATTGCGTTCTTTTCTCCTCTTTCTCCCCCATAGTTCCTTTTTTGTTCATGCATGCTTTTATTATTGACTATCGGATAAAAGACTCTGTTGACTTTTGGTTACTCACAAATTCACAACATCTAGTGACGAATCGCTCATCAGCACCCTCACCGCCTCTGGTCTAACGCGTGTTATCTAGTAATTAACCGGCCCGATGAGGCCTTTAACCTCCCTCTCCAGGCTCCCTCCTTCTCTCTCTCTTTGGGGGTGCCATCGGAGTTGAGGCGGAGCGCGGGTCAGCTGGGCCAGGGTGGCTCTCGCAAGCACGCACGCAGGCTTATCTCCGGCGGCAATTCGAGCCCCTTTGGTCTACCAGATCTCCAAATCTTGATGCCCTACTGTGCTTGTTCCATCGAGATTCTTGGTGGCTTTGTCCTCGAAGGACCCAATTTAAGCACAGATCAACTGTCAAAATCTTCACTTTGCCTCCCGGCCCTGGCGAACAAAGTGACTCAAAACAATGGACGGAGGCGAAAGACCCAAGGGACCAGCCAAGCGCCCCTCACGGATTTTGCCATGGCCATGGACCACCCAGTTTTCCATGGGGGGCGGTACGTACCACACGGTAACACCGGGACATTGACTGGCCACCCGGGACTCGATGTCCATCGACCCCTGGGGCCTGGGGCCCAAACCCAACAACGGCAACACAGCGACCTGAAGCAAAACACTTCCAACGTGGAAGATGATGCTTTATCAAGACGGAGGAGGTTGGTCATAATGCATGCGTATTCAAAAACTGCCTTGTGCGAAGAAGGAGATCGAATCCTTTCGAGAGACAGCTATTTCCTTCTCAAACCACTGACTTCATTTCCTCTACTACTTCCGGCACCTCGCACAGGTCGGACAATGATATGCGCTATGTGTGCAGAGAACAATGGTATGAGTCTGGAGGACCACAGGCCACAGCCCAGTACCCGATCTCGGCGCAGGTGGCCAATGTTCAGATGTGAAATTCCAGGCGTGGATCGGCAGCCGCCGCACGGTAGGGCGATATGTTAACTTTTGGTCCGGTCGACCACTCTCCAGTACTCCGTACACGTATTGAACTTTCCACCCTCGTAAGAGAATCAAATTTCACCCACTCAGCCCTTCAACAAGGCAATGAATTCAAATGCCCATTTCACATGACATTCTCGTTCGACACTGGGGCACAGGCACCATCGGCCCGATTGATTTTCGAGGGAACCGCGAATGAGCGACCAGAGCCTTGAAGTGATTTGCCCACCAGAGAAGGAGGGTCCGGAGTCGGTGGAGTCTTAACGCGGCGGGACGTCGGAAGAAGACGAGGTTGTTGCAGGGCGGGTTGTTCTTACCTAAGAAATTGCTTTTACCCCGTAAGTCGGTGCCAGCTGGGTACGGAGTAGCGGGCTCAAAGTTTTGTTCGCGATTTATTCCGGGGTTGATGTCAGAGGTCGAACGAAGTATCCAGCACTGAGCAGGCAGGCAATGGTCATCACCCTTCCTGTCTCCAAATAATCCCGGGCTGGCGGCAGTAACTTTGAACAACTGGAATGGCCAGAGCTCTTCCTTCTGTCGCGTAGCACTCTGTCGGGAATCGTCGCAGTTGCTCCGAACAGCTCGAGTCCTGAGCCAGCCAAGGAATACGGGGACACTTCTGCTCCGGAGCTAAGGCTCATTTACTCCCGATACATACTTTGATTATGCAGTGATCATGGCAATTGTGCAGGGGGGGGACGGAGGGCTCACTATTAGTCTAATGCTTGCGGAGTAGCTCCGAGGTCAGTTCAAGCATCGCATCTATCTCTGAGTTCTGACCCTAGCATGTACTGTACGCTATCCCATTGACTCATTCCCCTCGATTTTCACCACCGGCACATAAAGAGACTAGTGTACTCTGTAGTAGTTTTACCTATCAATGCCGGACGGGATCCCTGCGGAGGAGAAGGGGAAAGAGGTCCCTGCTTAGCTACCGTGCAACCTTGAGAGTAGTCTACTACGTACAGTACATGCAAGTGCCGCGGCGGGCTGCTCCTAACAGGTACCTAGTAATTAGTCTACTTCCAACCTACCTCAGCTAGGGGACTCGGGACTCGGGGAGTCCGTGGCAGCTAGATCTCGTCTTGTTTTGCGCGGCGTGTCATTGACTTGCCTCTTTGGGCTATATCACGCGACATGATGGCTTTTTTAACCTTCTTGATTCAGTCATTTTAAGGAGAACCAAGCCGCGCTCGGCGGCTACTAGTACCTAGCAGAAGGTGGCTCAAGTCCGAAACCATCGGATTTCGAGTTTGTCCATGAGATGATGGGGTGCGAATTAGCATTGCATTGGCCTGCGATGAGTACTGTAATGTATTCGGTGCCTCGAGATGACCTGGGTTTATTTATTCCAGCATGGCTGGAGCTGACTAAAAGAGAGCTTCACATCCAGGTCGCAAATCGTCCGTCGACAAGGCTATATGATCCACATTATTATCTGCCGCACATGTACTGAGTACTGTACTTCACGTCACTCGCAAGATTTTTGATATTTTATCACTTCTTATGAGATTTTTAAGTCTTGGCAATGCCTAGCTGCAGGACTACCAAGCTACTTAGTCTACCCAGTTTTCAAATGCAGGAATCACTGTCTATCTTCTTGTTATACACGGTGAGTTCGTAACTGAAGTTCTGTTCGTGAGTGCGATACTCATACATATTGATGGCTGCATCACGGAAAGACGAAGTATCCCTAAAAATATATAGGTCTCCAGTCCAATGGCTAACCCAATCATCCCATCGCCCTCTATAAGCTCAAGGCTTCTCTAGGCGAAGCAATCTAAAAACCGCTCTCTCTATCGGCAGCAGACCCAGCATGACGCGGTTGAACCTAAAAGCAGTGAGTACCACACATGCACCAACGACAGCGTCCAAAATGAAGTGGTTGGCGGTCGCAACGATCGTGAGACCCATCATCATGGGCCACAACGGCGCGATCATTCGCAGGTACCAATGAGGGCTGAACTTGAGCAGACACAGCGCAATGAACATGGAGTTTCCGAAGTGAAGCGAAGGCATCGCTGCGATTGTGAGCTGGAACTTGTTCTGCGTCCAAGCCGAACCGCCCTTGTTACTGTGCAGGACATCGACAAACCCGTACTCCTCGGGCAGGAGACGCGGGGGCATGCACCTCCACAGAGTAAGGATCGTAAAGGCAATGACATTCTCAAATGCCAACGTGCGTCGGAGCGCCTGGTATCTGTCACGCTGAACAAAGGTATAGCAATAAACCACAAATACCACTCCAAGAACGATGTGCGAGTAATATACACGCGCCAAAAAGGGCATGAGCCACGGAATCTCGTTGAGGATGTATCTCTGAACCGACAATTCGACGTCAAGGTGGAGGAAATGCTCTAGGTGAAGGATCGAAATAGCATGGCGCTCAGCTGTGTCGAAGATCTCCTTGTGGCCGGCAATCATTCGAGCAGAGAACGCCCGCAGCCCTTGGTAGATCTTGAGTCTTCAGTTAGATTGCGTCCCTTACATATATGGGTGAGCACATCATACCCAGTATGTGAGCAGCCAGTACAATATTTCCAGCAGGAAGGGAAAATGTGCTAGAAGACGAGACTGAGGTGTCCGGCGGTTGCGGAGCGAACGTTCGTCGTCTGTGTTTGGCTTCACGTCCTCAAGACCATCCGCAAGCAACGGTGATTCAACACTTGGGATTTCCGGCGATCTGACATGCCTGCGTCGGTTTATCAAAGTTCCCAAAGTGAAAACCGCGACGATCGCTGTACTTGTAGAATATACATTAGTCACTATTCGGATGGCTGCGGCGATCCCTGGGTATAACTTACCTCCAGGCTCCAGAAGATTTTGGAGACCGCCCATTGTGTTGAAAGACCGACAATTGCAAGCAACGATATAAGTTGTAAAGATGTAGGGACGTTTGTGAACTGGGTTTTTGTTTCAACATTCGAATTGGCTCTCTGCGGGCCGGATGCCTGGGAACACTAGTTTAAGGAGACTGTAAAATGAGACTGTTGACGTCACCCGATCCAGCCTTGTCCAGCCTTGTCCAGCCTTGTTCGGTTCGCGATCGAGGCCTTTCGGTCAACCTCAAAACATGGATCCAGAAAGTGATGTATAATGGGCCTTATGAAATCTAAACCAGGGCACCAGAGATCTGAAAAGTGGCACATTCGATGGGGAAGATATTGAGGCTTTTGGGGGGAGTCGCATCCGACCGTGGCTGCCGTTCGCTGTCTTTCTGGACGCCTGACCCATGGATTTTGATCTGTTTGCATGGCTGGCTGTCCAATGTAAAGGTCAACAACAACTTGAGTGTTGCCGGCTTCCAGCAACTACATTAAGCACCCGTGACGGTAGCTCTGGTCGCCAGATCCCATGACGGCCTACCGGCTTTGATTCGGTTTTTATCTGAAAGCATAAGCACATCAGCATGGATAGCAATGCAGTACAACAGCCCGTCGACTTTCCACAAAAGCAGGGATTGGAGACCTGGGCTGAGAGCATGATCAAGGCCACCGGGAGTGGACCTTTTCCCCATCCAAGCTAAGCCAAGCTTAAAAAAACACACTGGCGATCATGGCATTGTGGTCATCAAGCCACAGTATTCAGTCGTTGGAACTTGACTGGGCCAGTGTAAGCAAGACTACCTCGAGCATGCATCCAGACCTTCTTCAGAGGCATGAGTGTCGAACTTAAACCTTGCTGGCAGATTCTAGCGGGTGTAGCATGTTCCGCGAGGCTAATGAAGTTGGGCAGACTCAAAGATACCCTCCAAATAAACAATCTGAAGTGAGGATGCCTGCTTGAATGCATTGAAGCATTCGGGTTGATCATCACTGTTTGTCAAGAGGACTGACCTGGGGTGCATACCATAACGAATCAATGATTTGATACCCCTGTCTGCCCGTGTTCATTTTCAATCACTGTCTCCCGCTTTCTCTTTCCGAAATGCTTGTTTCTTCAATTCAGGCGATTCCTGAATAAACCGAATCCCGCGACCCACAATCCCTGTCGAAACATGTGGCGAAGAAATGGATTAGGTCCCCTCAAACTAAGGTCTTTATCAGTTCGACCCATTAGGACTATGACTTCAGTACCATACCGCCATATTCATATTTGCTAAGGTGAGCACTAATGGTCTAGATAATCGCGTTACCACCCTCTCAGAAGCCATAGCCTTCTGGGCAAGATGCGCGGCCCGCTCATCATCATCGCATAATTTCACAGCTACGCATCACTAGCCCCGGCGGGATCCACGCAGGAGTGCACCAATAGTATCCTAAAGGCGTCACGCAGCCCACCCGCCCATCCTGAGACTTTTATCTAAGGTCTCTTTGGCGCTTGGCCAGATTTCCCTGGACACAGCCCAGTTCGGCCTTATCTCGTTTCCGTCAACCTCACTTTTACATGCTACCATGGGCTTTTCTTTGAGAAGGGACCTGGTTGTATCTTCTTCATAGATCGGTTGCTGCATTAAATTGTCGTGATAATCAATTGACTAGACGTTTTAAATGGCTATGCCATCAGTTATGCTCCCAAAAATCTGATCTTGACACTCCAACGGTCAGCCATGTGGATTCGGTCCTGAATTTGTACTGGCTCGCTCTCGATGCCCACCAGCACTCCGCTTATCGATACCACGTTGATTCGAGACTGCCAAGTTAACGATGTCACAAACTACTGGGCATGTTCCTCAGACTCGGAATTCAGGATGGCTGCCTCAGACTTTGCGTCGTCGGTACTTGTTCCCCTTGGCTGGCCTAATGGCGTCCATGGTGATTGTCACAGAAGTACTTCGGCAGTGGGGTAACGACACAGGCGGACTTGATATCTTCACTGACTCCGATGAGATCACCATTGCTCGAAAATTCATCTTCACTTATGTTCCGAGCATCTTGGGCATGATTGTGGCCATCCTATGGTCTGTCGTCGAGTATGATGCTCTTCGTTTGGAGCCATACTTTCAACTTTCTAAGCCAAACGGAGTATCGGCCGAGGTACTTTTGCTGAACTATGAGTTCGGCCATTTTACCACCGCCCCATTCTTCGCATTCAGGAATCGACACTGGATGGCAGTATTCATCTCGATCTTGAGTGTCCTCTTGCAACTGGTTTTCCCCTCACTCCAGAGCAGTCTGTTCAGAATGGATGACGCCACAGTCTACAGCAGTCAACATCTCGAGATATGGCCGGAGTTGATAGATATGGAAGGGCAAGCGTCCGTGTCATATAACTCAACTGTGAATCACACAGCCTCTCGGGATCACCGATATCTGACTTACGATGAACCGGACTCAGATAAGTATGCAATGGCGCCCGTGAATATTCCCTGGGATGTCCAGTATGATACCGCGAAGTGGGAACTCACCCAGTCCGTCTACTGGGCAGAGCTGTCTTGTATTGATTTGACGGTAGAGGATGATCTGGTCATCGATGTCTTGACGAATCGAACCGGCTCTCAGGCAGCTTCGCTATATGATCGATCGGCCGTTTGGGACATGTCCATTACATCATCAACTTCAGAAAATTGCTCGATGCATTTGAGTGAAGCAATCTCCATACCATCCACCAATGGTTCATTGCAGATATCGCATTGGCAGCCAGTTCTAAGTGCATCAGGCCGTGATGATACGTGCGCTGCTATTGACCTCGTGGGTATCGTTCTTGAAATCAGTCTGAATCAAACTACCGAGAATATCAGCAGCAATTGGTCGAATTTACAGGGCTCTGACTATACGCATAATGTCAGCGGCTTTGGCTGCCAGATTCTCTACCGGACCTCAGAGGCCAGCATTTCACTACAAGCTAATGGATCATTGTCCGTCACCGCATTGCATTCAGATACTATGAGCAATGTTTCAGGGGTATCCTTGAACACCACTCATTTCAAAAACCTTATTTTGTCAGAAGTACTCGCAAACAACAGCACCTCATTTTTGAACAGGAAATCGGTCGGACTGTCTGCTTCTCAAGATAAACTAATCTCGAGACTCAACAGGGGCATCCAGAAAGCCTTCGTACCGTTGATGAACCGAATATTCGACGTCTGCGCTCAATCTAATTATGTCCAGGCGTCTCATGTGACACATCAAATGGCTATCATGGTTGGACCGTGGCAGTCCCTTATGTCTGAGGCGATACTTTCGCTGAGCGTGATAGTGATTTTATACCTGGCCTACGCTTACCCACGCCGGCCAAACCTGCTTCGAGGCGATCCTGCATCTATTGCGTCGATGTGTGGCATCATGGCAGACATTATCGATATCTCGCATATCTCGCATATGAATCTTGATGAATTGTCGACAAGGCAGTTAAGATTCATCCTTCAAAATTACAATTGTCGCTGGCAACAGGACAGAGAACCTCCCTGTATCTGCATCGAGCCCTCGCAGGGTATGTCATGATTCCCATATTGTCAAAATATGGTACTGACTTCAAACAGTGCCTCGCTCCCCAGGAAAAGCTGCAAAAGCCCGGTCTGATCCACGACCTCATTTCCTCCTGATCCCGATCTTTGGCCTTGAATTTCTCATCTTTGCCGCGGCAGTTGCTGGTCTTGCAACTGTGATCGCATTGTGTGTAAAAAATGGATATGTTATTCCATTGACCTTCGTCAGTTCAAGCAGCATAGGGGTTCTTTTCTCCCTGATTCCATCATCGATCGCGTCTATCATACGTGCGATCTGCCTCTCAATATACCGTTATTTGAGCGTTCTGGAACCATGGTCTGTCCTTCAGATGGGAGGAGCATCTGCTGCCTCATCTCTACTGCTTGAGTATGGGTCTTTAAACCCATTCGCCTCACTCTTCAATTGGTTTAATTATAACCATATCCTACTCGGGCTTGTGGGAGTGGCATGCATTGTCAACACCGGACTTAGTGTTCTAGTCAACGGATTGTTTCATCATGACCTTGGCCCGACAACCGCAGATACTGATTTGAAGACTTGGTATAGCTATGAGTCATTCGCCATCAGACAACCATCGTCAGTGCTTCCGGAACTCGATACTATGCGGACGAGTATCTATAGTGGCTCCTCCCTGCTACCATGGACAACTTCCAGCCACTCCTTTCTTCCAGCCTGGACAAACAATTCTTCAGATTGGCTTATCGGTGGTTCTTTGCGGGGTGTGGGTGCTGACATACTCTGTCGAGGGCTATCGGTTGCGGATAACTTTACCCAAGACCCTGGCTCCAATGTTGGCCGTTGGAGGTATTCTCCAATCAACGAGTCGAGTATAACATGCGAAATCAACGCAATACGAGATACGAACAACGTGGAGGATGTCAGTATGTTGGTCAACTTTTACGCTTCAACACCTACCGAAGCAGTTGAAGGTTGCCATAAGCCAGCTGTATTGGTGGTCGCCCAGCCAAGCGACAGCGATCATACCGAGATAACAAGTGCCAACACAGTCGCGATGATTTGCGAATCGTTCATCGTCATGCAGAACTTTTCAGTGGCCTGGAATTCGCAAGGCTACATACAGAACCATATACCACTTAATGATACCATTATTGTCGATGGTCCGATGTTAGAGAATGGGACCTCAAATCTGATTAATTACAACCACAGACTATCTAGTCCTGTCCTTTCAGACGGCTCGTTCCAGGATCAAAATGCTTCCGCTCAGGTTGATTACTTCGGCAGCCTGACAGTGAGTCTTTACGAATTGATGAACTCTAACACATCAGACCTCGACTTCGGTGTACTCAAAACTGCTGCCCGCTCGGTCTACCGGTCCATGTTTGCAACCGATCTCTCCCTCAAGAGAGACGCTTATTTTCGTCACCTCGATACTCCCGCCCACATCTCAAATGGCATCATATATCATATGTCTTGGGCGGTTTACCCATCTGTCCTGTCATTCATCTGTGTCATGCTAATAGTGGTATTTGACGCCTGTATTGTGGCATCAGTCTTCATTACCAGAAGATATCGCTTCCGATTCCCACGTATTCCACGATCTATCGGCTCCATCATGCCTTGGATTACCCAGAGCCGGATCTTGGATGATTTCAAGGGCACATATGCATGGAGTGACGATGAAAGACGAAAGCACTTTGCAGATCTCGACAAGAGGTATAAGCTTGATAGACTGGAGACGCCGGATGGAAAGTGGAAATACATTTTGGACGAAGACAGAACGGTGGGCCGCGATGATGAAACGGTGATAGATGAGGAGCCGAGACAGAAAAGTACATCGAGAATCCAGCTTCGGGTGTTATTCAGGCGGACAACTTCCGAATCCTCTGGTGAAGATCAGCATGGTTGATGGGGTTGGTTAATCGCAATGAATGTGCGTCTACATATGCATTCGACCCATTCCATGCCATCCGAGCAGGTTCACTTCATCTCTACAGCTACTTAACACGTTGATGGATGAACGTGACCCTTGGACGACAAAACCGACCTCTCATGCTAGGATCAGCAACCATCACTTACACAGTACTTCAGCGAGCGAGGAAAGTGCCCAACCACACAACAGGTAATGACAAGGGAAGCAGGGATCCTTTACACAGCTACGGGATATACGTGAAGCCGTTCTCTTCCTACCACAGTGCATGGAATTGTCCGTTCGATGCAGAGACACAGACCCGATAAGAGCTACCTCGGAATAGGAGAGAGATTCACGAGTCCCCAGGCTATCTCTGGCTCAGCAAACCAAGCTGGTTCTGCGCGTCGTACGGAATAGTGGCAGTAACCATGCCGGCATGCTAGTTTCTGCTTGGTTATGCATGGGATTTATGCGGGAAGGACAAGTGATGGGTCACAGAACCCAACCATTACATGGAAGGGTGTGATGTTGATGTGCCTGTTATGCAGGTGTAACAGCACCGAGCAACCACCACAAAGTCTATAGGACAGAAATTAATTTTATTCGTTGTTTCTGGTTCTGCAGAGCTGACATCCATCCCATGTCCTCGTATGCATATCGGGAATTCGCCTGGTTGATCTAGGGACTTCGCGGACTCGACTCCCGAATAGGAACCTTGCACAGACCATCATCGGCCGGTCACACTTTTAGTTGACTTGGTGGCAAGGAGTAAGTACTAGTGCGTGATGGAGGAGTGGTGATGTGCTTGGTTGTGCAGTTGCTGGGCGCTTAGAGTGTGATGAGCGGCGGCGATTGGCCCCGCCTCCACCATGACTCCCCCTCATGCCTGAAGCCTCTTTCTCTCCATCTTCCCTTCTCAGTATTCTCTACCCTCCCCTGGATGACTGAAGGCCACCGACCAGCTATATAGCCGCTCAGCAGTCGCCTGCATTCAAACCCTTTCTCTTTCCTGACACGCCGTCTGTTTGAGGTTGTGCAGTTTTTCTTTCTATTCTATTTTTGTCTCTGTCTAGTTCGTTTGGCTGGCCCAAGCAAGCTATTTGTTTTCTTCGCTTCTTCCTCCTTGACGTCAATAAATAATAATAGTATCATTCACACGCCTGCTTTAGTGGACACTTTGTTGATCAAAGTTCTGCTGCCAATCGATTCACTGCGCTCATCGTTTTGAATTTCAGAGCATCCTCTACATCTCTCGCACGAACAGAACCACCTTCTATCCCTCGTCTGTCAATTATCATTCAAGATGTACGCTCGGCCTAAGCTTTCGTTAAGCATCTCTGCGGCACAGAATGCCTCTCGTTCGTCGTTCCCTCTGAAATCGCCTGGCGCTGTTCCCCGAGCGCCAATTTCCCCGGCGAGCCCAGGCGCAAAGCGATTCTCAACCTTACAGGTGCCGTCCTTCGGTTACAACAACTCCTGCACCTCCAGAAGCATTCTCAAGAAACATTCCGCACCAGGTGCCCCCAGTTCTTCGGACAAACGGATTCAGTTCAAGGGCACTCCGACTGTCCATTGCGTGACACCGATTGAGAATCCAGAGGAGTATTACGGCACCTACACCAAATTGTCGCGGGAGGAACGACGCTGGGTTGTGCGGGATTGAACTGGACACGATTTCAATTGGGCTTCTTGAGCTTCTAGATGAATATTACAGCGTGAGCACAGGGACAAGAAATGCTCACCAAGAAGGGTCAACGTGAGATCAAGGCTTTGGCTTCGACCTTGCGCACAGCCTTCCCATACTCAACCCCGACACCACTTCGACATGCCGATTCTGTACATTAGGGGCAAGGGTGGGTCATGGCATTGATCTGATGTCATCTTGTGGCCATCAGATCTCAAGGTTGGTAGGTTATATGAGCTTGATGCATCCCGAAAGAGGAAGTTGAAGTGCAGTCTCTCAGCGTGTATATGACTTCTGTTATGATTATGACGTGATGATATGATTTGGCGACCAATTACTTAGCATACGGGCATATCCTGGAGTATTCCAATTACATTCGTTTAAGCTCCATACAGTCATTGTCTCTCCATATGAATTAAGACTTGTCTGGACCACAATTGTAGAATGGTTCCTATTGCTATTGAGTGACCGCCAGACATATTTCCTCTTCGGTCCCGTTAGGGCAGCATTTCAGGGCTCCTGTGGCCCGTGCGAGGAAACCTCCGGGCCGCTTCTTTCGCCGCCGACAGGCGATAGAATCTTGACTTGTCCTATGCGTTGCTCACATTAGTTCCCCCATGACAATACTTACGAGAATATCTCCTGTCACGTTACGGCGAAGCGTGGGAGCCGTTGCCAGGGGCAGTGTTCTGCCTCGCGCTCGTGGGCTGCTCACTCTCGCTATCGAGACGTCCTGGTTCGTTCAAGGTCCCTGTTCTGCCGCATAGGATGAAGTGCAGTAATCTGACAAAAGGCCTTTACGTAGCGATGACACCTCGGTTGCGATCGTCGAAAAGAAGGAAGGCTATGCGAAAATCCACTTCCATGAGAAAGTAACATGCGACTCCACGGCGTACAAGGGCATCCATCCGGTTGTCGCACTCGAGTCCCATCAAGAAAACCTCGCGAAGCTCGTCAACAAGGCGCTCACCAGTTTACCACCGGCTCCCTCCGCCGATACCCCCCTTCCCAAGCTAGTCACACTGTCAAATGGCAACGAAACGCGACGCAAACCGGACATCGTGTGCGCCACGCGGGGCCCCGGAATGAGGACCAATGTCTTGGTTGGGTTGGATACGGGGAAGGCACTTTCCGTGGCATGGCAGGTTCCATTCATCGGTGTGCATCACATGCAGGCTCATCTGGTGACACCGCACCTTCAATACTTCCTGGACCAAAACCCAGAGAACGACCCCGAGCACGCCCGATCTCATCATGACGGCGGGGTCCCTCAACAGGCCCAACAGGCCAAGCCCGCGTTCCCGTTCATCTCCATCCTCGCCTCAGGCGGCCACACGATGCTGGTGAAATCCACCTCGCTCACGAACCACGAGATCCTGGCCTCGACGCTGGACATCGCGGTCGGGTCCGCCCTCGACAAAGCCGCGCGGCTGATCCTGCCGGACTCGGCCATCGAGACGGCCCAGCACTCCGTGTACGCCAAAGCCCTAGAGCAATATGCGTTCCCCAACGGCCGCGCTGACCACGCCGACTACCAGGCTCCAGCGACCCGGCGCGACGAGGTTCAGGCCCCCGCACCAAACGAATGGGGCTGGTCCTTCACGACCCCCTTCGCCAACACCCGCGATCTGGCGTTCAGCTTCACCTCCATCGAACCGACCGTCGAGCGACTGATCAAGCGGAAGGAGGAGGCCGGCGAGGGCTGGGCGGACGGCGAGCGGGTGGCCCTGGCCCGCGCGGCCATGCGCACCAGCTTCGAGCACATCGCCTCGCGCCTGATCATCGCGCTCGAGGACAAGCCCCACGAGACCCCCGTCCAGTCGCTGGTCATCAGCGGCGGCGTGGCGGCCAACCAGTTCTTCAAGACCGTGCTCCGGGCGTTCCTGGACGTGCGCGGGTTCCGAGACATCCAGATCTATGCCCCGCCGCCGTATCTGTGCACGGACAATGCGGCGATGATCGCGTGGGCGGGGATGGAGATGTACGAGGCCGGCTGGCGCACGGATCTGTCGGTGCATGCGCTCAGAAAGTGGTCTCTTGCTGACGATTCGAACGCGAAGGATGGGGGCTTCTGGGGACCTGGCGGGTGGATCAAGGAGGAAGGGAAGGAGTAAAATAATAGGGTGTATCCGTGGGTATCACGCTTGCACTGTTGTACAATACTAGTCATAGCCATCGTATATTACAGGTCTTTCAGCTCCCTTATCGGAGCATATGTAAGTATATCGAAAAATCGGGGCCTATCACTACGGCTGATTATGTATCATCACGATTCCAGACCATTGATACAGCCATGGGGAAAAAAGAAGTCATTGCATCATGATTGGATGAATAAAATTGAGAGTGATTCACAGCTGAATGCATTGCCTGGTTTCATAACAGAACTAATGCTTTTTTCCCCGCTTCCTACAGGCCTTGCATGGGGCATGATGGAAACGATCGTTTGCCGGGCCGCCGCTGTTCATCCCAGCTTGCGATTGTTCCAGACCGGTAAGTCTCAACGGTGCCAAGTCATCTCGCGCAGTGGCCAGAGCGGAACTTAGCACTTCTCCTCACATATAGACATGAAGAGCAAAATTCGAGTGTTCTTTCCCACCACATTTAATGTATGACCCCGTCTCCGAGTGGAAATTAAGCATCCGATGGCTTTTATACAACGGGCGTCCCTGTGGCTACACCCCCGAACAGGATTTCTCCTCGGCGGAACGGAATTTGACAGGAAAAAAAATCATCCACCTGCAACAGGATTGCCCTGGCGGAGAGCCGTCACTTGTTTCCGAAGCTCGAGGAAGAAATCCTTGCCGTTGGCCATTTGATTCGCTGTTTGTTTCAGACTCATGCATTAGACAAATTCATCAGAATGGATTTCGGGGGAGTTGGAGTAGTGTAGATTTTTCTGTGCGGGTGAGACTGGTTACAGGTTGTATAACGTACGTTTAGCACCCCAGGGTCCGCTGGCCCGGTTGTTGTTCGTGTCCTTGCTTTGCGGTTTATAGAAGAAGGGCCTCGGTTCTGGGACGATGGGTTGCGCGGGTCAGTTTCTTGTTTTGTGGTTCAAACCTCCGGACATGGGTTCCGTGGGGGGGATTTGTTTATAGTGATGGGTTGCGTACCTCCGGGTCCTGCGGAATCAACAGAACCAAGCAAGAGCGGGTTGTCAGCTATAGCACTTTCGAAGAGCTACTCCGAGCGGAGAGATTCTGCATACCTCTTCTGAGAGCCGCCTTCGACTCTGTAGCATTGAAGTTTTGCACGGGAACGTGCTGTTCCTGCCGAGGTCCAGAGGGGGCAGCAGCAGCAGCAGCAGGAGGAGGAGGCTGTTCGCGCGAGGAATCGTTCCATGTGTTCGGCCCTCCTCGCGAGCTGCCATGGGCGCTCATTGTTCGGGAGGAGGAATGTCTCTGGGCGGCGTGGCGGTTCTGCTCGTACGGGCGACCTCCGCGCCAGTTACTGCTACAGTGAGTCGGATGGGTCAGCCACCAAGAATGCTGCTGGCACGAGGGGCAGGGAGAGAAGTGCATTGGGGAAGCTGCTTTCGGGGGAGGGGGAGGGGAGATTGGGACATGGAGAGAACTAAGAACATACCGCTCTTCGCCGGGACCACTCATGCTTGTCTCCGATCGATCACCGGGCACGATCAGGTAGCAGTTTTGTTTTCTTCCAGCACGGGGTGAACCGTGTAGAATTGTGGTGATTTATTGTAAGGGGATGATGGAATGACCCGGGGCAGCTGGAAGGGAACCGTGGACGGGCGGCGGCGGCGGAGGTTCCAGTTCCCCTGCGCGGGAGAGGGAGAGGCGGGTCTGTCTCTCCGCCTTTGGCTTGATAAGCCCGGAAAGAGGGAGGGAGGGAGTGACATTCATTCATTCACTGCTGTTCGCTCGCTGGCTTGTCTCGTTCGCGGTCGTCGTCGTCGTCGTCGCGCGTCTTCCCCTCGCTTGTCGCCCTCCCCGTCCTAACGTGCTTACAAGTCGAAACCCCTTTCTTCGATGAGTCATGCTAAACTTATCTGGCTTATCTGATGTGGTGATAATTCGTCTTTACGGCGCAGTCTAACTTGGTTGTGATTTCCTACGACAATTCCCTCCCTCAAAACACCCACACACTGTGAGGCTGAGCGGCGAGCTCGGGCGAGGGTCCATCAACAAACAACCACACTCCGCTTTTCATCCAATCTCACAGATCCTACCGAACAGGGAAGATGGCGCCGCTCTCGTCATCAAAATATCGTTCCTCACCGGGTAGATCCTCGAGAAACCAGACCAAGGTCACCCTAAAGACATCGCGGAGCTCGGATCCGAGCACTTCGGAAGGCCCGCCCCTCAAGAAACGGAAGTATATTCCAGGTGGTCCCGGTGGAGGAGGGCGTTATATTGAACTAGAAGTGAAGGAGCCGGCTTCGAGACAACCAAAGACCACGCCAGCAGCTCGACGCAATTCCTCAAGCTCCCGCAGTCGCCCTGCTCCTGCTCCTGCTCCTGCTCCTGCTCCTACTCCAGAACCCGAGCCTCCTCAGCCCGTACAGTTACCGCCTCCTCCTCCTCCTCCGCCGCCGCCGTCGCCACCTCCTGTACCATCCACGCCGCCTTCTGCGCGTCTGAGACGAGAAAAGAGCCAGACTCGTGGCCGCTTCGGCTCATCGACCGCGGCTGCACTTGCGTTACAACAAGGAGATGGGTACAAACCACGCGAAGAACGCGGCTGGGAGGAGTTTCATCCAGACCTGGATATCGACACCAAGTTTACGGTTTTCAGTGCAGAAGAGGTGGATGGCCCTCCACCGTCGGCTTCGATAGCTCAAATCCTATCGCCTAACGGCCTGGATAACAGTAGCGACAAGGATCCGATCGCGGAGCTCATTAGAGCGCACGCCAATGGCACTTCGCCGACGCCAATCAAGCGCCGCCCCGGGCGCCCTCCTCGTCGTCCCGAAGCTATCCTCCATGCTCTGGGCATCTCGCCGCAACCGAAAGCCGTTCCTCCTCCTGGTCCCAATCCGCGCGAAAGGCTGACCCTCCCGAAGCCCACATTCCGACTGCGGGATCCATTTACCTTCTATGACCAACCTGGTGTAGGTCAGCAGAATTATGTCGACCGTACCATGGCTAGCGTTGGCTATCAAGAGAGCGACCTCTTTTTGCGGCATGACCGGCGGTTGGTTCGTATGTCGGAGTGTGCGCAGGAAGATGACCTAGATCTGACCAACCTCGTTGCCTCAGAGGGGGAGGTCAATGCGGCTGTTGGCCGGGTGGAGTATGATATGGACGAGCAGGATGAGAAGTGGCTGGAAGACTACAACGCGAAACGGAGGGAAGATCAACTGGAGCCAATAAAACCGGCGGTCTTTGAAATCACAATGACCAAGATTGAACGGGAATGGTATGCCCTGGAGAAGCGTATCCCAAAACCGAACCCGAAGCCCCCGCAAACGCAGCGCCCTCGTTCGAGCTCCGCCGCCGCGGTCAATGGGGAAACTGCCCCCGGCGAAGAGCAGGACAGCAAGTGTGCCATTTGTGATGACGGCGACTGCGAGAACTCGAATGCGATTGTGTTCTGCGATGGGTGCGACCTAGCGGTGCATCAAGAGTGCTATGGCGTTCCTTTTATCCCCGAAGGACAATGGCTTTGCCGCAAGTGTCAACTCATAGGCCGGGGATCTGTTAACTGCATTTTCTGTCCGAACACCGAGGGCGCCTTCAAACAGACGACCACCTCGAAATGGTCCCATCTTCTGTGTGCTATCTGGATTCCGGAAGTCTCGATCGGCAACCCATCTTTGATGGAGCCGATTACTGACGTCGAAAAAGTGCCGCGAAGCCGATGGAAACTCAATTGCTATATCTGTCGCCAGAGGATGGGTGCATCCATCCAGTGTAGCAACAAGAACTGTTACCTGGCGTTCCACGTAACGTGCGCCCGACGAGCCCAGCTCTATCTGAAAATGAAGTCAGGCCATGGTACCCCGGCCGTGATGGACTCCCATCTCCTCAAGGCCTTCTGTGATAAGCATGTTCCGCCCGAATGGCGAAGGGAGCATGGTACCGATGCCGCTACGGCCGATGCGATCGAGTACTATCGGAATACCATGCAGGGTCGCCGCTGGGGAGATAGCCAAGCAGCGGCCCTCTCGTTGGAACCCGCCCACTCCCATATTGGGGAGCATGGAGAGGACGACGGGCACCGGACACATACACCACGTATTACGCTTACTGTCGGTGGCAACAAGCGCAAGCGAATGACTGCACCTAAAACGATCTGGAAGCTACCGTCCGGAGCTCCGGTGATTCCTCAGGTCGTCCTAAACTCGGTCGGCGCTTCGCTCCAACGATTTGGAGTCCGGCAGAGGAAGCAATTTGCTGAAGATGCCTGCAAATACTGGACCCTTAAACGCGAAGCGAGACGAGGTGCTGCGCTTCTGAAACGGCTGCAGTTGCAGTTGGAGACCTTCTCATCGATGGAGATGACCAGGAGAGATTATGTTGCGATGGGGGTGACCGGCAGCAAGCGACTTCAGCGGCGCATCGATTTTGGCCAGAGGCTTTGCTACGATTTGGATAAATTGAGGACACTGTGCGACGAAGTCAGAAGGCGAGAACAAGAAAAGCTGAAGGATGTGGAAACTCTACGGAGCATCGTAGACACCGTCTACTTCCCTATCTTCCCTTTGCTCTGGCCTATCTTCGAGAAAGCTCAAGGGTAAGCAGCTGTGCTGGCTCCATTATCTAATTCTTCCTTTGCTAATGTCCTTCGCAGGCTCGATGGCAAAGGTATCTTCAAGAAAGGACTGTCCTCTATCCGTGCAAAGCTCCAAGAACGCTACTACTCGTCGGTGGCATCTTTCTCTGCCGACCTTGCCCGGGAATTCACCACGGAGATTGGTGTTCAGCCAGCTGGGGACACTGCAGAGCTACAGATGCAGATCAGCGGCCGTGCCCCCGAACTCAGTCTCGAACAGCGTGAGAAGAGAAAATTGGCTAAGCGCATTATAAAAGCTATTCAGCCGGCACTGGAAGATGCTATAAGGAAAGAGAGCGAACTGAACCGCAAGCCTTTCGAGCAAGAACTGAAGGAGCTCGATCTCATGCTAGAAAATAGCGTCATGTCCCGGAGAGGGTCCGAGGTCGACTCTGCGGAGCAGAGCGCAACCGACAAAGCAGATCAACCTCAAGATCTGAGTCAAATCGCGGAGCCACGGGTTGAAGATGTTACTGCTAAGATGGAGATCGATGAAGGGACCGACATCGCCGCAGTACCTGAAAAGGCCGACGCAGCTGTCGAGCCCAATGCAGAAGTGTCGCTGCCTGCTGAAGAGTCTACTGAATTGTCCGCCCTTTCAGTACCCAACTCAGAATCCACGCCTACCACTGCGGTGCAGGAGACGGAGATCCAGACCGGTGAGGATGCACCAACAACTACACAGCCCACCATAGAAGTAGTTGACCCAGCTGTGAATGGACCGGTCGAGAAGACCGACCTAGACAGCTCGAAACGTGAAGGCCCACCGCCCGACGCTCAGAATCAGTCACGCACCCCGCCTCACAGCTTTACAGGCGATCAGCAACATCCCTTGTCTCAGGGAGGCATCCAATGGTATATGCAGCCATTTGACCCCATAGGGACCACCATCCATGAGGAGCGCTGGACGGGACGGGACGTTATGCGGGGAATGAGTGAGGAACTAAGCGAACTAGATGAGGACGAACTGAAAGATCTGGTAGAGGAGGATGAGCTGGAGGGACAAGTGGCCAACTCATCAATGGAGACTTCGGATGGAAAAGGTGCTCCTCCCCAGCAGCATGTCAAGACTCATCGGACGCGACGACGCTGGCGTGGGTTCAAGTAAGAACAAGGTAATAGGGAACGTTCCTTTGTTTCTTCTTCCCTACATCGCCATTTATTCGCCTCTATTTGTGTCCGTGTGTTTGCTTTTTTGCTTTTCTTGTCGACAGTTGTTTAGCCAACTGGGAAGGGATGGGCGTTAGGCATGCCTTCATGGCCATTGGGGAATGGCATTTTTGGGCCGTAGATCGCCAGCATCGCGTAATGAATGGGCGTTGAGTATATGAATATTTTAATTGAGTGAGTCTTTGGTATCTTTCGTGAAAATATCTGTGTTCCAAATCTTGAGCGTTGAATTTGTTTGTTTGCTTGCGCTGTAATTAGTATAAGGTGTAAAGCACACCGAGGAAGGGTGAATTGAAAGATTGGCTTGGCGCAGAGCCGCTGGCGGGCCAGACTGGATGGAGACGAACTGTCTCTCTGGCTCTCTGGCTCTCTCAGCTTTCTCGCTCTCTCTCTCTCTCTCTCTCTCTCTCTCTCTCTTCTCTCTTTCCCGGTTTCCTCCCCCTTCTTTCATCATCATCACTCCGGGAATTCCTTTCCATCCTCCTTCCTTCTCCCTTTCTTCCCTTTTCCCTTTCTTCACTCCCAGTTCTTTTCACGGATCTCAGAAACAAACTCATCTTTTGAGTTTCTTCTCTGCCCGTGTTTTAACGCAATCGTAATCGGTCGTTGAATTTTTCAGCTTCCCATTCCTCATTCTCAGCCTCGCGCGCGCTCTCCTCGACCCATTCAACCTCTGCCGATTTTTCTCCCTGTTTCTTCACGAAGACCATTATCATGGCTACAGAGTACGATCACGAGAACGGTCGCTACGACGGTATGTCAAAGCTATCGCCTTCACAGCCCGGGCTGCTGATCGTCCGGGTAACTACGAAATCACACGGCTAATCCGCGATGCTGGTTTTTCTTCTTCGCAACTGAATAGACGAACCTCGCTTCACCCGCGACCGCAGCGCATCTCCTCGCGATGAGCCGCGCGGCGACCGCACCCGCAGCCGTTCTCCCAACGGACGCGTCGATGACCGGTGCGTTCACCCCAGACAAGAGCTTCGAGGAAGCAGCTTGCATCACCGTCACCCACGGGTGGCGATATTTCCCCCTTGGGCGACCAGCTGACCTCGAGACCATCACATGCTTAGCCCCCCCGTTGATACCCGCAAGCCTCCTTTGGATGACGATGAAGAAGGCGCCCTCAACACTGGATCTAACCTCTTCGTCACCGGCATCCACCCCCGTCTGACCGAGTCGGACATTTCGCGTCTCTTCGAGAAGTATGGTGACGTCGAGAACTGCTCGATCATGGTCGACCCTCACACCAAGGAGTCTCGTGGCTTCGGCTTCGTCAAGATGGTCACCGCCGAGCAGGCTGATGCCGCCAAGGAGGGTCTCCAGGGTGAGGTCATTGAGGGACGTACCCTGAGCATCGAGAAGGCTCGTCGTAGCCGTCCCAGAACCCCTACCCCTGGCAAATACTTCGGTCCCCCCAAGCGTGGTATGCTTCGAGTTTCCTTACTTTACGTGTGAAGAACTGAACATCTAATACTGACTATAGAAGACTTCCGTGGAGGTCCCCGTGGCCGTGGTGACCGCTATGATGACCGCCGTGGTGGTGGCTACGGTGGCAGCTGGCGTCGTGGCGGCGACGATTACCGCTATGGCCGCTATGATTCCTACAGTGACCGCCGCGACTACGGCGGTGGTCGTGATTACCGCGACTACGGTCGCCGTGACTACCGTGATGACTATGGTTACCGCGGTGGTGGTGGTGGCGGTGGCGGTGGTGGCATCGACCGTTATGCTTCGGGCGGTGGTCGTGAGGACCGTTACAGCCGCGATGAGCGCCGCGGTGGTGAGGAGCGTCGTGGCGGTGGTGGCGGCGGCGGTGGTGGTGGTGAGGATCGCCGTGGTTACTACGATCGCGATGCCAACCCTCCCAGCTATGGATCTGCTCCCCCTGCCCGTGAGCCCTATGCCGGTGGTGGTGGTAGCGGTGGTGGTGGCAGCGGCAGCGGTGGTCGCTCCTACGAACCCCGTGGCGGCGATGACCGTTACAGCACCAGGTAGGTGGACTGATCAGACATGGGTGGTTGAATCGAGGTCATGCCACGTTCTCCCTCCCAGGCCTATCTAGGTCTTCTTCCTCGTTTCCCTTCACTCTTTTCCTCTTTACACCTTACCACACACCCCTTGTTTCAAGTCACCATCCCCGTCACTTTCCCCTGTTATTTGGAATGGTTCCCCCCTTTTTTCTTTTAATACCCCTGGATGAATGGAAATGGGCTCGAAAGGCCACGATAGGGACGTCTCTGTGTTGTCTTATACCAGGAAAGCAATATAAGCCAAGGGAATCATCACGTTCACATGTCAACCTCGGGCGAATTCGGAGCGCCATCGAATATCGTCGGCCTATTCGACCGCCAGACTAAGCGTGTGAAAAGAAAAGTTGAGAGAAAGACCAGAAAATCATTCTCGTGGACAGCAAGAACAGAATTCTCTGTGGTTTCGTCGCTCCTCGGTCACACTTACTGATGTTTTCTTTTGTTAATTCGCTCGCGCAACTACCGGTGAAAAAAGCATGGCGGCAAGGGAGAAAAAGAGAACAGAACAAGATCTTTACACACAATAACGTTGTAATTCCTCGGATTGTCAGATGGATCAGCACTGCTACATTTCACTCCTCAGCCCTTCCGGAAACTTGGTCGTTATCTCGCTACTAGTCAGTCAGTCAGTCTTCAGTCAGTCTTCAGTCTTCAGTCAGCTGTTCGCCTATTTTGCGTCTATTGCGTCTTATACAACTCTCTTTACACGTAACGACTTCTTCGATTGTATGCGGCCAGAAAAGAAAAGAAAAAGCTTCTACCATTAAATGATCTGCTCCAGGCTGTTCGTCGCGCCCTGGGAGAGGTTTCCTCTGGACCCGCGACCGAGCAAATTCTGCAGTGCAAGAAATGCGGAAACAGTCTTGCGACGGTGGCTTCTCTGCGACCGCCATGTCTGCGTGGGTGTACTGCTGTGCGTTGTAGTATAGCCACGGAAGACAGCAAACACTGCAGAGCATCTTCTGTCTGTGCAGATACCTTTAATGCTCAGCCTGAGAAGAGATTCCCGTAAATACGACCCCAATTCACAAGGCTACCTCTTGCGACGCACAGCCTGAGAAGATTCGGAACGGTAGGTTCCTTGTTTTGATCTGGAGTATTGTTATTGTTGATTATTATAGCACCAGAACTGATCTGAAGGGGAAATCTGAGCTGGACCCCCGGCTCACCTTGCCTGGCTGAGAGTTGACCGACCGACCGACCGACCGACAGGCCGAACTCCTTGCATCACGGGGGTGACTCAGAGAGCATCATGATTGCTGCGGGTCCAATCCCAGTTTGCTAACTGCAGGTCATATGGTACGGCTTTAGGTACATCTAGTCATGGGTAGTTCGATTTTAGTGGAATTAACAGTTGTCTCGGTGATGAAGCCAGCTCTTTACATTCTATGCGCATTGCAGTGATGCTCGTTCTACATGGGAGTCCTGGTAGTTCTACCGATCCCTTGTGCGACCTACCCATGGTGACACACGTAGCTATCGGTCATTAACGCTAGATCTCCAAAACTATATGTACTATACATCCGCAGCAGGGAGCCTCAAGCCTGGGAATCGTCCGTGGCCAAATGCAGCTCGAACCGGAGTCTTGGTTGCAGTGCTCTCTCCTGCGCCAGGTGAGAGCAGAGCAGGGCACTCTGGCGACCCTGGCGCAGCTCGAAATGAAGGCCAACACCTCCAATCTTGACAATGCACCTTTCCTCAGCACGTTGAAGCAGGACTCTCCCCAAGTGCCTGTGTTTCTTCACACTCTCGAGCGATGAGCCAACTCAAGGCCTCAAGCTACCCACCAAGGGACCTTTTTTCCCAGAAGTTCACCAGCACAGCCAGCACAGTGAAAACCCCAAACCTTGTAGGTATTATCTCAATGGGGATCATAGCATGCTCTCTCGCTCCCATTTTTTGTGTCGAGATCATATCGTCTCATCATAATTTCGCATTACACGCCAATCGCACTTTGTTTTCTTTATGGGTCCAGCTGTATAAATCCAAAACGATCATATGTGCGCATTACTTCATATCGCCTGGTTATTGTATTTGCTGGAGTGTGAGATTTCCTTACTCCGGCGTTTTCGTTGCTGCTGCTGTTGCGCCCCCTTGCTCGAGTTCGTTACTTTTCTGAATCAGAAATTCGCCGAGTACGCGGAGGGGATTCGGGGGTCTGGTTTGAGTGTTAGCTTTTTTTTATTTCCTCCTCTTCTTCTTCGATTGCGTTGGGCCCAAGGGAGGGGGAATACGTACTGTTCCTTCGCGACGCTCTTCATCCCTTCGAGCAGATACGGTACGATCTTCTCGTTCATGTAGACGCGGGCGGGAGCACCGCCCGGTCGGATTTGGGAGCCGTTGGCGGTGGCTGTTGTTGCTGCTGCGGCGGCGGTGGTGGTGGTGTTGGTGGGTGTCGCGGCGGCGGAGTCTGCGGTCGGGGTGTTGGCGGAGGTTGAGTCGGCGGCCATTGTTGCTGTAGCTGCTGCTGTTGTTGCCGGGAGGGGATTGGGGGTCTGAGACTGAGGTTGTTGCTGTTGGGCTTGGCCTTGGTCTTGTTGCTGGTCCTGTGGTTGGGGAGTAGGAGTGGCTATCGCTGCTTCTCCTTCTGCTGTTGGAGCTGAAGCTGAAGCTGCAGGCTCGGTCGCGGAAGAACCGTTTGCGGGGAACTGGTGAAGTTAGGGGATTCTGATTCCCGATTTGTGGTTCAAACAGAAAAGGAAGAAATCAAGTTGATGGAGGCAGGATTGTACAATAGAGTTGCCGAAAGGGAAAATTAAAAAATATTGGCTGAGGGGAATTGAGAGAAAGCGGAGCTACTGAGCTTGCAATTGTCTCTCTCTCTCTGTGTGTCTCTCCCATCATGGGCTCCGCCGGTGTGGGGTTTGGATTGCCATCATTCCATAGTTCCGTCTCGGAGAGGAGTTCCTTACTGGGTTGGAGTCGGTCATTGTGAGGTATTGATTAAGCAAGGGGAGAGGAATCTGTGTCTATTGCTCTGTTGTGTTTATTCTATTTGAGGTTATGTATGCAGAATAAGGGAAAGCAGGTGAAATGGTTTGACTGAGTGCTGAACAAGATGGACTTCAGCTGAAGATCCGATCAACTTGCGCCGACGCCCGCGCTGCTTTGCAAACTGTGCAAACTTATGTCTGTCCGTTTCCGGACATATAGATCATGTGACTTCGTGTCGGCTCGCGTCACGCTTTTTCCTTCCCTCGCAAGTCAAGCAGTGCAAAACCTCAGATTCATTTACCACGGAGACACGGCCTAGCGGGCCATGCTTTAAGGGTAAGCGAGATCGATGCTTGTATCTCTCCGGCAGTATGTCCCTGTTGGACTACTGGGATACCCAGCGTCCGAATGCGAAGCGCAGAAAGACCGCCGCTGACGATAAGCCCGCCACCCCGGCTATAAAAATTGCGGTTGGTCATTCGAACAACACTCCTGAGTCGTCGTCGTCGTCGTCTGATGCCCCGCTGTCGAAAGACTCCGCGGTACCAACCCTCGACCGGGTTGACTCTTATCCTATCATAGCCGAGTCCGGAATTGAACATGATACCGACTTCCCGGTGTCGAATAGCCAAACGGAGCTGGAATCGTCCCTACCGGCCGTTCAGGATGATAGCCAGGCAATCGAGGAATACGAGGCTGCGCGACTGGCAAGCCAGGACGAGCCCGACCTCCACCAGAGGTTGCAGGATGGCAAGTGGCGCAAGGGGCGAAGCTCCATCTACGTAGATGCGTTCAATCTGGCGCTGGAGACTGTGCTGGATGAGGAGGCGCATCTGTTCGACGAGGTGGAGATGGAGGTCTTTAAACAATGGCAGGAGCTGGACTACGAGGCTCAGTACTTGTGAGTTCCATTGTATCAACCAGCATCTTGGTAGTGCCTAATGTGATTTCTCTAGGTATGTGCGCCTCTTCCTTCGGAAGACGTCCGCCTGGCATCGCATCAACCGGCTGGGCTACTACTCGGATATCGCAGACATGTCCCGGGTGGTGACCTCGCTGCGACATCCTCGCTGTCTTCCCACCTCTTCCTGCCCGTTGTCCACGGGTGAAAACCCCGCGGATATCGACCCAGCGCCTTCGCTACGCTTGACGGGCGAGTTTAGGTTCGCCGAGCACATGGATCAGATAACCACCCTCGAAGAGGCCTCGTCCTTGCTACTTCTTGATGAGCTGAAGATGCTCGCCAAGGAAGCCAAGGTGCAGGGCAAGAGTAAGAATGAACTCATTGCCGCTCTGCACCGATCCAGTCAGAAACAGACCGGTCTGGGCTGGAACAGTAAACCAGCCACTGCAGTATCCAACGGTCTCAATCGAGACGACCACTTCATGCAGAAGATTTTCGATTACACGGGCGACTGCATCCGGCTATCAGCAGGTCCACTCGCCTTGTTCGAGCGCGTCCACCTGGTCTTCTACCGCTCCACCGAATGGACCGAAAAGTCCCTCACGACCATCATCCTCGCCAAGATCTCCCGCAAGAAGTTCCCGGAGTATATCGTGTGCCGGTCCAGCTCCATCTTCCCGACCCGAGCGTTCTTGCTCGAGTTCGAGATCGCCCTGCGCACGCAGTTCCAGATCGACAACATTCTCGAGTTCAGCGGCACCCCCACGGTGGAACACCTGACCCGGATCAAAGACCTCGCCTACAAGGTCTACCCCCGGTGGCGGGCCCTGCTGGCGGAGGAGCAGCGCAAGGAGGAAACCATCTACGAATACGGCGAGGGGGCGTACCTCCGGCGGTTCTCGCCCGCCTGGGTCTACACGCGGATCATCCACAAGGGTCTGCACCCGCTCGGACGCTTCAAGGAACACCAGGAGGAGCACCGGCTGCTGACGGAGCTTCTCGACCAGCGGCTATTCCACGCCGCGCGCCGCGGGGCCTGGTATCAGCGCAAGGCGCTGCTGGAGGAGCACTACATGTGGGCCCTGACCCCCTTCGAGGGGCGCAGCGAGGACGCGCAGCGGAAACACTGGCGGCGGGTCGCGCTGCGGACGTGCGAGACGGGGCTTGAGGACCCCAACTGCCACCTGATCTTCCACTACGACCTGCAGAAACGCATCATGAAGCTCGAGCGAGCGTTGAAGATCGTGAAGCGCGAGCAGCATAATTTCGGGCACGTCCGGCTGGCGAAGCCCGCCGAGCGCACCATCGCGGGCATCCAGGTCGTCGAGCCGGAGCCGGCGTCTGTTTGGGAGACTGCCGACTCGCCGTCCGCCGCCAACGGCAACAGTAGCAATCACAGTAACAGCACCCGCCGCGGCCGTCCGACCGTCTGGGTCGACGAGCGCGAAGGCGGCGAATGCCGCGTCGAGACCATGTGTCTGAACTGGTACCGGGAACAAGGGTGGAAAGGCTATCATTCCGAAGGAGGCATCGTCAGAACCTTGGTATGTTCCCGACCCGACCCGACCCTATACCCAAGACACCCACCAACTAACCTTTGATTGATTTTGGCGGCGAAAAGTTCAGCTACCTCTTCTATGACATCCTCTTCACCACCTACGTCCCCAACGTCTTCCAGACCCCCTTCCAGACCTCCCCGCTCGACCTCCACACCGACGCCTTCTACCCCACCCGCGCCAGCGAGATCAACCACCGCCTCGCCGAGCTCACCACTCCCGGCGCCGCCGAGCGCCTCCTCCGCGCCGTCCACGCCCGCGAATCCCCCACGCAGACCTGCGCCGTCGGCCTGGACTGGTCCTTCGCCCTCGACGACCTCGTCGAGCTGGTGCGGTGCTTTCCGGGCGAGGCCCTCGCGGCTATCTGCAAGGTGCTCGCGCAGGAGTATTCGGTACGGGGTGGCGGGGTGCCGGATTTGTTGGTTTGGAGGGTTTTTGACGACGCGGAACAGCCGGGAACAGGGGTGGGTGGTGGTGGTGCTGCTGATGCGGGTGAAGAGGGCCGGCAGGCTGGCAAGTTAGCTGAGCAGAAAGGGCGGTTCGGGGAGGTGATGTTCGTGGAGGTCAAGTCGGAGAATGATCGGCTGAGCGATACGCAGCGGTTGTGGATCCATGTGCTTTCCGGGGCTGGAGTGAGGGTCGAGTTGTGTAATGCGGTTGCGCGGGAGGTGAGGGTTGCTGGGTCTTGATGGTCTATCAGGATTTGGCTTTGGGGGGTACGCTTTGTTGGCGTTGGTATGTTGATTTTGAGTGGTGCATGCATAGATGTATAGATGTTGGATGAACCTGGTTCAATTTTACTGAGCACATTTGGACAGATACACACACTACGTTCGAGAGAACAATCTACGTCTACAAAAAAGACCAGAAGTGGTCGTGAAGAAATTTTGATATTCATGACTTGATCATAGCCAGAACATAGACCCCATTTTCCCCTATCGAAACCCTTTCCAGATCACACGCAAGGGAAAAACAGAAGACAAGAACCAACCACGAAGGCCAAATCACAACCACACCAGAACCCAGACCCAGGGGACCCAACGACGTCAAGTCGCTTAAGCAACGAGGGTGGAGGCGGTGGCGGACTCGTAGCGCCAGGTGGGGGGGAGGACACCGACGGTCTTGTAGTAGCGGGACAGACGGTGGATACGGGACTCGATGAGAATCAGGCGGAACTTGCTGTCCTTGTCCTTGCGGTTACGCTCAAGGTGCTTGCGGACGGCGACGGCCTTATTCATCATTAGTTAAATTTTCTTTTCGTTTCCGGAGAATAAAGAACATACCTTCTTGATGAGGTGGTACAGGTCCTCGGGAAGCTCGGGGGCAAGGCCTGTTTTGGGGAAAATCACTCTGTCAGCCTAGGTTTTGACCAAGCAGAGGCAATACGGGGTTTTTAGGAAGCGACCCAGCGAAGCAAACACCATAGTGCACAAATTGAATTGGACCATGGGTTTTTCTTTCTGGGTCGGTATTTCCCTTCCCTCCAGTGTTTTGAGATCGTGGAGAAATGTTGAGATTGAAGTTGTTGATGGGAGTGGTGTGCGGGAGTTGAGGATGCGATGGTGGTGCTAGTGTCGGGGAGGGGAATGTTCTTTCGATTCCCCCCCTCCCCTCCCTCAAGACGGTGCGGTGTAGTTTCAACCTGCGTCTTTTTGTCTTTCGTGTCTTCCTCCCGCTACCGTCTATAGGAAGACGGGAGTGAAGGTGCGAAAGCGACCAGCGCCCATCCGTCCACGCTGTCGAACCAATGTGGATGTGTTTCAATCCCGGCGCATGACTTCTCGCTCCATCCCAGCCAATCCATCTTCCAATTCAACTTCCAACGGATCTCAAGGTACTGGTGCAACTGGGGTTCCGGAACTCAGAATGGTGATGGTCGTACCGTTGGACTTCAAGATACGGAGGATCTTGTTACCTGTTTCCCTCCTCGTTAGCAAAAACTCTGCAACCCCCTTTTCCTCAAAGACAACATACCAGTAACGTGCTTAACCTGGGCAACACCGTGGCTGTCACGGAGAACAACACCGATCTGAGAAGGGGTGGCACCCTTCTTGGCGAGCTTGCAGATCTGCTCAACAACCTGCTCGGAGGAGGCCTTGAACCAGGCCGGGGGAGCACGGCTGTAGGGGAGAGCGGAGGACGCAATGCCCTTTCCCTTGGAGTGAAGACGACCCATTTTTTTTTGTGTGGTGAAGGGGGGGGTTGGTTGTCGAAGGGTGGTGTTGTTCTGGTCGGGACGCAAAAAACGGCTGGTGGTGGTTGTCGAGGGATCAAATATGAATCCGCTGGGGTCAGAATTCTGGGATCGTGGGTCACATGACCTTCAGTTTCGTGGGTTTGTGGGTATGGTCATGTGATACAGGCAGAAAAAAGTTCGCTTATTTGGCGGGAGGGTCGGGCGCCTTCCTTTTTATTCTTGGCTTGTAAAGTTCTTTTTTTTTTTCTTTTCTGCTACTGTCGGGGTATACCTTGACTTTTGTTTTTGACAACGACAACGACAACGCCCTCACCCTTTGGGCGGAAGATTTGGATGAGCTTATGCTGCTTTCTCTCTCTCCATCAAAATCATCCAAGGCACAGATCTCGTGTGCTGTCTTTCTCAGCAACGCGACTCCCCCTCGGTGTTTGCTCACCAGGTTAGTACTGCCCATGAACTCACCCCGTGCAAATCTTCGCCTTTCACAATGATGAAACACACCTTACTTTATTTATTTTCTGGTACCTCTTATGTCAGAGGTAGATTTGGGGACCTTACCCGGTCTCTGGGTCTATTCTCGATGATCTAACTGGACTTCTGATCTCAACACCAACCTTTATTGCTGTTGCTCTGCCGATTTGGGACTTGGACACAACGTGCTAATTCTCACTTCAGATAGATTTCTTCTCTCTGACTCGGTTAGATATGTTGAAGTGGCTAGCATAGCTGAAATTGGAATAAATCATAACTTGTTTGAAATTTTCTTCGTCTTCAGGATTCCAGACCGTTCTATGGTCTGGTTGCTCTTATTCTTGTACTTTCGTAGTACTCCGTCTGAGGTCGTAGATTCACGAGTGCTTTGTCTTCGCTACTGTGTAACCCGACTCGATCCTATCGTAGATGTACCGGAGCTTCGTGGCGCGAACGATGTAGCCGTGCAGTTTTGTACTCACTACGTGATGCATTTCGTGATCAGGTATGTGCTTGTGAGACGTGATATGCACCTGGGCGTTCTTGCAGTCCGTATATGGGAGGAAACGCCGATGACACTACTCCAAAGTCAAATTCAACAGGAGCTATCGAAGCATGAACCTGGATGCTGTTCTTCCGGCACGTCGTATGCAGGTACGAAGTTACCTTTGTGTAGCATACCCCTGGCTTACGAAGTGGAAGAGCACGTCGAGAACAGCAACGTGCCTGCTTTGCACGCCCCATAGTACTGTCATGATGGGATGAAACCCCGCCATCCTGGAACACATCAGATCACGTATCGTGCAGCAATCACACCGCCGTTCTGGCTGGATCGGAGTATAAACCTGATGATCGAGACGTGCAGGATCGATATCATCTCGCCTCGTGTCGAGGGGGGCTGCTACCGCTGCCGTCAGCTGGAGCGAATGGCTGAAGAGATGGAAGAGCGACATTCTTCCTGTAGAACATCGTCTGCGATGCCTGGTCAAAGGCACGACAACCTTGAATAAGTAATCAAGCCTCGGAAGGTAAGAGATGGTTCTAGCACATAGCAGTCGGGGCACGAGAACCCCGGTTCATGTCATATGGAGCGATGGAATCAAGCTCGACAAAACCGTCGGTTGCTGAACAGCACTGAGTCACACCCGCCCCTCCCGTGCTGCTCAAGTCAATCTTCAGTACACAGTACGGAGTACTAGAGTGGACGTTGTGGGGACATGTCGTGATGTATCACAAATCCATCGAGAACACTAAATCCAGCCAGCTCGTGGAAGAGTGCACCGTCGGCACCACACCCCGAATCGTCATTCGTGGCCGTCACAAAGTGGGTATGAGGCAATCGCATTGGGAAGAGGGAAGAGGGAGAAAAAGTCCGTGCAGGATCGCAGCCACTCAATCTCTCTATCGCGCTTAAGAGGCTGCTGCACAGGCGACGGAAGTTTCAGACCCAGCCCAAAAGGCATCGACAGTTCAGGGATCACGAAGATCATATAACGTCAGGCGGCCATGGTTGGCACAGTTGCAAGCGCACAACGGATGATGATTCGAGGTTGAGAAGGGAAAGCAGCGTCTGAACACAGAGGGGTGCGGTCAAATCAGAAGCACGGAGAAAGGGTTCAAAATGGAGGAGAGGCGGGGGCAAAAGAGCTGAGCTGAAAACCCCATCTATAGTGAAGAATGATATAGCACTATAGCACTGCACTATCGCACCGAGAGTGAGATCGGAGAAAGTGAGATCTTGGGAGTCCGGACCCGCGGGCGCACGCACGCACGCACGCACGTACGTTTGAGACGGAGCCTATGAGTAGCCGGGATTTGCCCTGTCGCCGAGCCCTGTTCCTGCCGCCATCACGCAAAGCCCAGACTCTCCCTCACTGATTGGTTTGCATGGGAAGCCAATTGACCGTTTGGATGCTGGAGGAAACAGTGGATTTGCTGGGCCATTTTCAAGGGGACGGACGCACAACGCACAGGCGAAGGCTCCCTTCCCTGTCCCTCGTCGTTGGCATCAACGCTTCGTGCTCTCATCGCATGATCGCCCCAGGTTGAGAAGCTGGCTGCTAAATCATTTTCCTGTCATGTCACTCCGCCTCGTTTGGACAACGATGGTCAAATGACATCGAGTGACATTGACGTACGCAATCCCTTGGTAGGGGTGGATGTGGCCAATTGAGCACGAGAGATGCCAGCCGGAAAGTGGTCGCAGACGAGAATCAAATGGTGAGATTCGATATTGACAATAGCGAGAAATCCTGCGAGAAATCCTTGCTGGCCGAGAATAAGCCCGTTTTTGCCCCCCCCCCCCCCGGCGTATTCTTATTAGACTGTCATCCGCTGGTTTGGTGGCTTCATTGTCTCCGTAAATACGTATCACAAATGAGATGTAATCAGCGGGGGAAGAAATTAGAAACACAATCCTTTCAATACACCATGCACCCTGCACTGTATGTACGGTACTGTACCTGGCCAACGTGCTATAGTTCTTACTCTGGATTCGAGCCCTAGCAGGACCATTGGCATTAATTTGCATCCTTTAGGGTTCTTGGTGAATCCTGGGTTGTTACAGAGGCATAACAGGCTCAGTCAGAAGTTTGTCAAGGATAAGAATCTCCGAATACGAGAAACTCGCTCCTGATGGCGAGTCCAAATCGTCGACATGATCCTGTGTGTTTTGTCTCTCCATCCACTCTACTCCGGTACCTGCCGCGTTCTCCAACTGCAAGATATGCCTCACTTAGCAGTGACGTTGCCAGACTACTACTGTTGTTGCGGCACAGGTTGCGTTTTGCAGATGGCGATCATCTTTGCTTCTCAAAGTCTTGTCTTTTCAGGTAGTTGCAGATCCATTAGCGTCCCGGGAGCCGTATACTAGTCGCTGCAACTGGTGCATATCGTAGACAAAAAGCAACGAGATCTGCCTGTTTCAAGGCAGAATCTTACAAGTCCGGGAACAGGTAGGTAGAGTACTCCGTAGTAGCAGCTTAATTGGCGTGGAAATGTCAGAAGTAGGAGTAATGATAATAATATGAAGGAGGGGTGGAAAAAGGGGTAAAGGAGAATCAAGATCCCGTCGGCAAGATTAACCGATAACCTCAACGCGAGCTTCGATGGAAACTTCCACGAACGGGCGTCAATGGCGTTTAGTCTAGCGTGTGCCACAGGCTCATAGCCGAACGGGAAGAATGCGAGCGGTGCCCGGGATGACGACACATTTCGCTGGTTTTTCTCGGTTGGCGAGGAATTGTGGACATGTTTTAACCTTAACCACGCGGGAAGGAAATTGGATGTGGATGAAATGCGGATGTGGATGTGGAATTGGCGATGGAAGGTGGTCAGTGTTGAAGACGTACTGTGTAGGCACCCGTCGCTGGTCGCCAAATATAGTCGTACTCCCCAGGTTGGCAGGTAGGTGTTCCGTAGTGCCTGACGACTGCGACAGTCTACGTATCAGGTCCAAAGCCGGACGTGCTCTAAAAGACGTCGTGCAATTCCATCGCTTGATGGGTGAGCAAAGTCGCAAACTGGCAAGGATGCGACAAGAAACACCACCAAAACAGGGACCGCCGCACGAGGTGACGGGCAGCATGAAGTGCCGTGAAACCGTGGGTGGAAAGAAAATGGGTTGCCGGCGACAACAAGACAGTAATAATAAGGTTAATCAATTGTTCTATCGCGAGCTTTCGGCTCAAAACTCAAAACTCAAAAAATCCTATTCATCCGCAGGTCCATCCATCTACCGGGTTTTGCAGAGCACCAACACTTTGAAGATGATCGCCAGCTATTTGCCTCCACTATCTGCACCAAGACCGTGAAGGGGCTCTGTCAATCAATACTCAATCGCGCAAAAGCTCACTCAGGCTAAAAGGCCAGGGCTGACCTCCGTTGCCGGAATGAAAAAGGAAACACGATGTTGAGGGTGAAGGTTCGTACCGTGGAAACTCCCTCCGAGTTCAGTGTCGATCAGCAGCAGCGCGGCAGGCATTAGACGCGGCCAGTACCGAACAGCGAAGATGGACATCCTACGCACGCTTACAGCTGAGCCAGCAGTAGCAGTAAGCAGTCAACATGACAAGTGATTTACCCCTTGCCTCGCACTGCGATTTCAATGGGCTCCATTTTTACGAAACTGCCTTGGATGATTACGTAGGAGGGGTACATCGCGAAGGTAAGCATGTTGCTGCAGAGTCGTACGCGAGAGCCTTGTTCAGTCAACAATGGTCAATGCACATTGTGATGGGGAAAGATCTAGATTCCACAATGGGGGGGGAGGAGGAGACTAGCGAGCATAGAGCCATTAATATCCATTAATATTAGACTGCAAGAGAGAGACTGGGTCCAGCAGGCTAGTGCCACACATCTTACTTATTTGGGTTCCGACGGACGAAAATACTTTGTACGGTACGTTTACATGTACATGTTCTTGCAGCCTAGCTTTTTTTAATGAAAATCTCGTAGTACTCACTGCTAACGATGCTAGGTTATTGTCGGCCAAAAGATCGCTCCAAACATGTTGTGGTGCGCAATGTAATGCTCGGTAGACGACCGCATGCTAACTTGACAGCGGCCACCATCTGTTTAGAGTTAGGGTGCACAGGGGCAATAAAAAGTCAAAACAACTCAGGCCGCACATTTCAATCTGACCGAGCGACCCGACCAGGATGGTTGATCAGCTCCTCCTATCGTGGGAAGTGGTTGCGTTAGCGGGAGGAAAGGCTTCCATTCCCGGGTTAGTTTTACTCCAGCTCAAAGTTTAATGCCATGCAGCCATGCAGCCATGCAGCCATAATGCTGACAACCCCTGCCCGCATACGAGGAGGTCTGTAAGGTACGCGGTCGGTCGTGGTCACTTACCTGGTTAGTCGGAGGCAACTGAGTCGTACAGTACTCCGTACTGTTTGCCTGTCTGCCTGCCAGTGCTGTCTGCTGTCTTCAGGGTTGTCACTTGTGCCCTACAATGCTCGTCAAACCTAGCCAACCAAGATGAATTGACACCTGGTCGGCAACCTTCCTCTGGTTCGGGAACGTAGCGAGAACCTGAATATTACCCCAAGGTTACATCCCATGGAGGGAACCGATTACTGATGATAAGGGGATCGATCCATGGAATGGACAAGGCTGGTGGTCACACTCCATAATAGAATTGTTCGGGGAAGAGAAACCCGTCAAGGCGCGTCAAATGGCGAGGGAAACCCTGCTTCAGGTTGCCCCTACAAACGGGATGGGAAGACTCTTTTAGAAGGAGACCGAAAATTGGAGCTAACCATGTGGGATGAGGTTCTTGGGTTCTTTGAGACTCAGAATCTTACGCACAGCGTGAAACTCGCTAGCAGCCATGTACCATACTTATGTATCATACTACGTAAGAGCAAGGTATTGATGACCGTCAGTCATGTACCCATGAGGTACAGCCCACGTTCTGTTTCCGATCCTTGGGTGTCGGTGGGTCGTGTCGACACTTGGCCTGCCCAATAATGCAGAGCATTGGTTTATACCCATGCAGAAGGCTGCAGGTGAATTAACCCAACCGGGCTTAGGGCTCCTTGACACATTGTTCTCCGCCGATGGCATCTTACCCTCTCTCGCTCTCTCGAAGTCTCGCTCTCTCCTCGAAAAAAAACCCCCGCTTTTACCAGGCGGTGCTGTGCCCTACCGATACTACTACTGAATGGCTAGACTGACCCTTTCTTCGTCTAATTCCTTCCATCAATATTCATGCACCTCGATGGTCGATTGGAATCCCCGACGGAGCGTGGAACTTTACTTCCTTCCCTGGCGTTGTCGCAGCAAGCCTGTCGGTGCAATGCACTGCACCGACTCCACCTTTCCATCGTGCCCCTGAGGTTAAGCTCGGCGCAATGAGGGAAATCGACTGGAAAAGTGGGATTTCCACACGGACCCTTTTCAAAAAAGTATGAGTAACTGAGTAACCAAGATGTGCAAGAGGCAACTCGAGGTGTGCCCCAACCGAATCTCTGGATCCTGGTGGCACCCCCGGGACGGTCCCATACTCTAGTCTCCCAGCGCGCATCGTTTAATCGAAAGTAGTATATCTGATCGTCTCCCCCCTCCTTCCCCCCCCATGTCCGTTCGCTCTCACTTGCACACACACACACTCTCTCTCTCTCGATCTGCCCGGTGTCCACATGCAGTGACTTAATCCTTATCGATCGATTGTGCTCCGTGAATGCACGGCTGTGAATCTCTTGTGGAGAGGTATCACGTCGGGAGTTGCTGTAGCTTGGTAACCCTATTAATCTCGCCCACCCAAAGGACATGACAATTTCGCCACCACCTGCCTCCATTGAGATCGACGAGTACACTTGACATTGGCCCTTGCACGCACATCATGAGCAATACGACACTAAACGGATTATGTCCGGCTCCTTTCTACCAGGAGTCATTCTTCCCGTCAACCGGTGGATGTATGTTTTTCTCCGATCCATCCCCGTGTGCGACGCTGACGATGCGCTTTCTCTTCAGTCATTGACGGACGTTACTGTGAAACATTAAGCACGGCTCAGGGCAACGTCTCTTGCTGCCTGCCGTGCCCATTGTCATCATGGACATACGGTGATGGTATGCATACCTGTCGAAGATATGAGGGAACAATCGCTAATCACGCACGGGCTATCTAGACATGACCAACAAGACCCAGGCCGCCGGCTGGCTTGGGGTTGCCATCCTGCCTCTTTGTATCTTTCTCTTAGTATCATACGCGGTCCTGCCTCCGAAATGGACGAATCGTCACTATCTGAGCATATGTTTCACACTGGGAATCTGCTGCATCGAGGTAAGTGCGCAGGCACGCGAGCAGTTACGGGAACGGGACGATGTTGACCGGCCTCGCAGATTGCTTTCATCATCCCTCTAGGGATTAAACCGGAGCAGTGTTTCAACGCCATTACGCCGAACGATATGTACTCGGATGTCGCGTGTGCTTTCACTGGCTCGTTACTTCTGTTCGGCGGCTGGGTAGCCGTGTCGTGGAGTATGTATCTCTTTTTCTCGGTCAATTGTCCGCTCCAGCATTAACCCAGTCGCGCAGGTTTCATTCGTACTTTGGCTTTCCACCTTCAGGTTTGTTGGGAGGTCATGCTGGGGACGAAGTTCATGTGGGGCGCCTTCATCTTTGGCTGGGGCATCCCGATCATCGGGTTGACTGTCATGCTGTGCTTGACGGGGGTGTCCTACCGATTCGGAGGGACCTGTCATATCAACGTGCACAACAGCAACCGGGACTACTGGGCTCCCGTGGTGGCCTTCGCGGCGGCAGCATTGGTCCTGCAGTTGGCCACGATGCTGTACTGCATCCACGTCTACGTCAAATCGGTCTTCGACAAGAACCCCACGACCAACAGCTCGGGTCTGCCGTCCTACAGCGCCAGCGTGCGCACCATGACCGCCCGGCAGGCCTACCGCCGCGTCCGCCGCGTCATCCAGCTGCAGTGGCGCAGTGTCACCCTGATCCTGATCATCATCGGCAACGTCATCTTCTTCGCGGTGGTCTTTATCAAGATGGACAACAAACTGGCCATGACGCCCGCCAACGCCGAGCTGTTCCTCCCATGGGTGGCATGCCTGGTCGCCACGGAGGGCGACAAGCAGAAGTGTTTCTCCGAGGTGAAGCACGTGCTGCCCAACCAGGCCACCCTCCTGGCGGTGCTCATTCTGTTGTCGCTGGTCGGCTTCTGGAACTTCATCCTGTTCGCGCGACCGTCGATGTTTTTGGGATGGGCCGACCTCTTCAAGACGAAAGTCTCGCACCCTAACGAGTTCGTCTCCGCGGACGCCCGCCGCACGCCGGACTCGCGCGCCTACGAGATGCTCGACAGCTCCGGGGCGCCGCCGCCCGCCTTCAAGACGCTGGAGCCGGTGATTCGATCGCCCAGCCCGGCGCGCACCTCGGGGGCCCGCAGCCCCGAGCACGACGGCTACGGCCAGGAGGCGCGATACGTGAGCCCGACGATGAGCTTCTCGTCGCCTCGGCCGCCGAGCGCGTCGCAGGCCCACGGACGCGAATGGGATCCGCAAGCGACCTTTGCGCCAGCACACCCACGTCATGGATCCCAGTGACGCTAACTTGTTTGAAGCATGGAGCATGGAGCAGGAGCATGGAGCATTTGTCTGGGTTTTTTTTTTGGAGTGAACATCGGAGCATTGCGGCAAGAGAAAAGAAAAAAGTGCTGATGTGATATTTTTGTACGAACTGCATATGTTTTTTCACGGCTGTACCTATACCCTGGATGATTCTTTGGTTGTTAACCTATACTATACTATGTTGTCGAACACATCTTTCTACTTTGTACATTCTCTCCTACCCTTTTAATCAGAAGTAAGACTCCTCCCCGAGAAAACCAGAAGAAAAGTAAGATTCCCTCCGTCCGAAACACCACGCCCACGCCCACGCCCACGCCGCCGAACTACCCGAACCAGTCAGCCATCCAGCCAGCCAAGCGAGACAGAAAGAGGGGGAAAAGAGAAATCCTCCAAGTTCCAATCTTCCCATCATCCATCATATCTCTTGACTCGAACGAATATCCCCTGCCCCCCAAACTTTTAATAAAGCATACACAGGAGTGTGCCAGGTGGGAATTCCCACCCTCCGTAGCCTAACTTACCGGTACAGTACACTAAATACTAAGTTGACTAACGCTAACGCTAACGCTAACGGGTATCTTTCCCCCGCGCCCGGCGCGCCGCAGGAACAATTCAATTCCTTTGGCCTCGCAGCTCGCTTATCCTTGGCCGTGTAGTTGCGTTGCGTGGGAAAGCCCCCCTCTTCGGCCCTTCCGGTGCCAGTGGAAATTAGATTGAGTTTTGAGGGGGGGCCCAGATTTCCCCGCTGCTGTCGCTGTCGCCGTCGCCGTCGTCTGCTTTATCGGACTTGAGTTGATTTGGTTCGGGCTTGGTGTAGGGTGTAGGGTGTAGGGTGTAGGGTGCATGGTGCATGGTGCATGGGGTGTACGACCGTTGCAGGTGCGGACGCAGGCTTGCGTGCATGCATGTATGCATGGGCGTTGGGAAGGCTTTGCTTGTTTGTGAGTGTGTGTGTGTGTGTGTGTGTGTGTGTGTGTGTGTGTGTGTTTGCTTGGGTTGGGAAGGGTTGCTGGGTTTACGGTGTTTCATTGGTGTAGTAGTCACTAGAGGTGGTTCGATTTCTTAGGGTAGGTGGGTGAGCGATAATTCTCCGAGAATGACTTTGTTCTTGGGAGGAAAGTTTTGGCTGTGTGGCTTGGTCTGGGGTAATTTGTAGAGTCTGTGGTACCTGTACTAGATCAGTCTTCCTTTGGATGAGGGGTGACTGACTGTCTACCGATGCATGATATAGTGCTGGGGCTGGGGCTAGTGATTCGCCACAATAAATACAGTACAGTCGTTGTTGTTGGACTGGGTAGGACAATTGTGTTCTGTTTTGTGAGGCCAAGGACTGTATGTTACTTCGAGTATTGCTGTACATGCAGATTAACATGGGAGGGAGGGATGAGTGGCTTGTCTTAGTATTTGTGGTTCAGGGCTCCTCCGCGCGATCGTGTGCTGTGATCTGTACTGTGCAAGTTATAGAGTTCCGGCTACGGAGTACGCCGTTGCACGCCCGTTGGGTAAGGGGTATGTGACCCGGGCCTGAGACCTGTCTGTTTGTGATGGAGGTTCTGTTGGGGTCTTGGGGTGGCAACTAATTATGTTACCAGGGACTCGAGGCTATATATGCATCCTCTCCTATCGTACCTGGTTATAGCACTGAGTATATGATTCATTGTTTCCTGAGACAATTATCCAGGTATATTTCGCTGAAGAATTCAACCATCTATGGGATGTAAATCCGAGGGCAAGGAGAGTATTGATGCCATTGTCCGATTTTATTTCAATGTATTGTCCCAGTGCATACCTTGTCATGGGATGAACAATAAAGAAGCCCTTTAGGTCTATTCATATGACTTTGTACTAAATCTCTGTACCTACCTCATGCAGGAGCACAAGCCGAGTCACCTCATTGAGGTGATATACGTAGTGATAGGTACGCTCAGAGCTATGGTTGTGTGTGACTGCTCGAGCAGGTCTTAACCGGTGGCTGTCTCGAATAGTGAAGTATATATGCAATTCGAATCGACTAGCAAGCAGAGCAGGTGTCATTGAGAATTCCCTTGTCCAGGAGCATCATAACAATTGAGTGTACTTTATCACAGCGGAAAGCAGGACAAGCGAGAACACCCACCTCTCCAAAAGGATCACAAACTCCATAAACACCAAGACCAGAGGCAATACTAAAACAGAATCCACATCATAGTCCGCCTGCTCATTCGAGCCCGAAAGACTATGCAAGGTATCACTTTAGATTCATAGGTAGGATTCTTGTCTTGTCACATAGAGGCCAACGAGGGAACCTCCTGCAACCTAGACATTACAGCTACAGAATACTACACACAATCAGATCCAAGTAATCGTTTCTCGCTATGATACATCGTAACCCAGTACTAGGTCGAAAAAAGCCACTATTATAGAGATCCTCCCCCCCTTTCCCACGGCCAGTACAGGTATTGAGCATCGGCTGTTCCCAATTCGGGCCTTGGGCATGACTTGCCTAAAATCAATTAAGAAGCATCGTGAAGAGAGAGTTTAGGAAAGACGCGGTACAAAAACAACCGGTGCGATTACCAAGCGTTGACATCGAAGTTTTCCTAATGCCTCGTCAGCAAGTGTTTTCCGATTCATGTCCCAAAAGAAGACTGCTCACCTCGGAGAAATACGTCGTCACGACGGTCCGGTCAGAGAACTTGCGGCCCGCAAGCGCCTTCAGAGCATTCGTGGCCGACTCCACCGTGTCGAACTTGACGAAGATCTTGCCGACTCCAGGGGACTGTCTGCTGCCTCCAGAGGGGCGGGGCACCTTCAACTCGAGGATCTGGCCGTATTTCGAGCACTCATCACGCACGTCGTCGCAGATTTCTACCGGGCGGTTAGCCACAAGCCCCCACCAGAACCAGCAACAAAAACATACCTTCGTAGTCATCGTTATCAATAAGCTCCTCAGGAGTCACCATGTTCAGCAGCTGCAGCACACGGCTTGTCTCCAAGTCCTGAGATGTCGTCTTGGCAAACATGGACATCGCATTGACGCCCATGTCCAACCCGGCGGCCTGGGTCATTCCGATACTGGCACGCACCACCTTCAGGTGTCGGTCACCCAACTCCATCCCGTTCAACCCCTCCACAGCGATGCTCGTGGCGGTAGGATCGGCGTACTCGCAGAACGCGATTCCCTAGAAGAGTCAGATTTGCTAAAACCACACATTCACAAAAACACTTACTCTGGACTCTTCTGTAGAGCTGTCCTTGACCAGGACGAAAGACTTGAGCTCGCCGAACGACTTGAGAAGCATGGTCACCGGCTCCTCGGGAATATAGTTGGGGATGTTCGACACGCAGATCTTGTTGGGCGAGTCAGGGACCTCGTTCAACAAAACTCCCTCCTGGTACTCCTGCTCGACTCCGCTAGGAACAATGTAATCCTTGGGTCGCCGCACTTCCAGCCCCTGCGGCGAGCCGTTGGCATCGCCATTGCCGGCAGCCTCGTGCTCCTCCATTGTGATTCCGTCGAACGCTAGGGCAACCGTGGCGTCGCCGGGGGTCTTGAACTCAAGAAGAGCATAGGAGCGGTCGGTCGACACCTGGGCCGAGATACAAGGGTCCACACTCTCGACAACATTGAGGCCGTTGAGTTGGAGGTTGAAGAAGGCCAGGAGCGCCTCCCCAGTGACGGTGGGAGGCAGGTTGTAGACGAAAAGCCGCTTCGACTGACGGGAGTTGGCAGGCTTGAGGGCGGAGGTCTCGGTGCTGCTGCCAGCGGGCTGGTTCATGAAGGCTTGGAGACGGCTGGGGTCCATGGGCTGCTGACGCGGTGCACCAGGGAGAGGGAACATGCCTGCATATAGATAAGTATTGCGATCGATTCATGACTCAATATCCGGTGTGCTTACCTGAGAGCTTAGCCTGCTCGGCCGTGACGTTCTCGTAGCCGGGGGGCTTGATGTCCCATTGCGTCAGACGGCGCTTGCGATCCAAGACCGACAGGACATCCGTCAGGTCGGGTGTAGGCTCCCTCTTGCGTGGAGGCGAAGCACTCCTCTTCCGCTCCCTTCTGTCACCGCCGGCGCCACGCTCACGCTCGCGATCGCCGCCGGCGCCGCCACCACCACCGCCGCGGTCAGCGCGGTCTCCACGCTCACGGTCCCCCCGGTCCCGTCCCTCCCGTCGGGGTCTCTCCTCGAACAGGTCCCGGTCCCTCTCGCGGCGAGAGGGTCTGTCTTCGTAGTCTCTGCGGCGGCGGTCGCCTCGATCCCGATCCCAATCGCGCTCTTCTCTGCGGCTGGAGTAGCGGTCCTCGCGTTCTCGGGCGCGGTAGTCGCGGCTGGACGAGTACGAGTCGGCCTCGAACTCGCGTCGGGAGCCACCCCGGGAGCTGTAATGGGGCGATCTGGACCGTCTTCTGTCGCCTCGCTCGCCCCGTTCCGCTCTCTCCGGTCTGTCCCCTCTGTCCGATCTCTCCGGTCTCTCCGGCCGTTCACCACCACGTTCGCGACGCTCCTCGCGCTGTACATCGTCGGTCGGGTTAGCTAGCTACAGATGGAACGAGAGATAAACATTGTCCATGTCAGTGAACTCACGTAGTAATCCCTAGAGCGACCCGCCTCCGCTTTATAAACAATGTTAGCAAGTGAGCCCACAATAAGCGTGGGTGTTGTCCGGGATATAACTCACGTCTGGCAGAATACGTATCACCGTTCATTGTGAACAACTCCAAATAGAATAGTTTCAGTTCCTTATTTTCCCCCCTTCGTCCTTGAGATCGCAAGTGTCGGCTGGAAACAACTAACAAGCTCCAGAAGCAGACCTGATACAAGAAGTGAGGTTTCAAAGGTGCGACCTCAAGCGCGACCGAGAAGATGGAAAGCAAAGGACGTCTCTCTGATGAAGGAGAGTGGTCGAGCTGCGGCGCTGGGGAAGGGAAAACTCGCTGGCGGCGACCAAGCAAGCGGCAGCCGCCCGGGCGCGCCTTAGAACGGTTAGCGCGGTCGGGACCGCCTTCTTTATCGGACCCCAAGTGGGCGGCAGAATCAGTATCGGTATCTACAGGCATGGGATCGATCTTCATCCAGACTACTTTTTGGAAACCTTTTTTTAGGATGCTTGACGAGGCCAATTGTCTTTCATCATGACAGTAGGTGCCTTCTCTGAATGGCGCAAGCTGCCCGTGAGTTTGAGTGAGCTGTGCATCAATACCACCTTACGCTGTGGACAATCATTCCGGTACAGTACTCCTCCCTTCTCGCCTCGCCGCTCAGGGCCCCATGTGCTGCACTATTGTATCCTATAAAGCACTCACAAAGCTAATCCAATCTTTCGAAAGATGGCACAATGTCCCTGACAGCGACGAATGGCGCTGCGTTCTACACGGCCGTCTGCTATCCCTAAAGCAAGACCCCACCCACCTCTATTACCGAACCTACCTCCCTTCTCGCCCTCCAAAGACCATCTCAACCTCTCCACCACCACCCAAAGCCGCCGCCGCCATCCCCTCGAACCAACAAAAAGCCTCCTCTCCACTTAAAACCGAACACAGCAACCCTATCCCTACGAACGGCGATGATGACGAATCCATCCTCCCCCTCCTGACCGCCTACTTCAACCTCCCAGCCAACCTCACCACCCTGTACGAGGGGTGGTCCCAGCACGACGCGAACTTCCGCAAGAAGGCGCCGCAGTTCACGGGGATCCGCATCCTGCGGCAGGACGCGTGGGAGGCGCTCATCGCCTTCATCTGCAGCAGCAACAACAACATCGCGCGCATCTCGCAGATGGTCGAGAAGCTCTGCCGGCACTACGGCGCCTTCGTGGCCACCGTCGACGGCCGCGCGTACCACGATTTCCCCGGCCCAGAGGAGATGATGGTCGCTGGCGGTGAGGATGTGGAGGCCACCCTGCGCGGGCTGGGGTTCGGGTACCGGGCCAAGTATATCTGTCAGACGGCGCGGATTGTGGCGCTGGAGCGGGAGAAAGGGTGGTTGGAGGGGTTGCGGAATCCTGAGTCGGTGGCGTTGGGTCGTGCTGGCTCGCTGGGTGGTGATGGTGAGGGTGACGCTGGGGAATGGAAGGAGGAAGGGAGGGAGGGGTATCGACTTGCTCATGCCAAGTTGCTGGAGTTGCAAGGCGTGGGGCCCAAAGTCGCGGACTGTGTTTGTTTGATGGGGTTGGGATGGGGTGAGGCGGTGCCGGTTGATACGCATGGTGAGTCTTTTCTTTCAGCTTCTTTGTCTGAGGGATGTCATTGACCATGACATGTTTGTACAGTCTGGCAGATTGCGCAGCGGGATTACAAGTTTGGGAAGGGGTCACATA